AGTCAGTATGTTTTAAGATGGGTGGACTTCTACTCCCAGAATCCCCCAGCCAGCATGCTTTAAGACGAGAGACTTCAACTCCCAGAATTCCCCAGTCAGCATGCTTTAAAAGGGGTGGAGTTGAAGCCCAGCCATCTTAAAGTTGCCAAGCTTGAAAAAAACACTGTGCTAGAGGATTCCTCTTTTGCTATTTGGCCTTGAAGCTGACTGGATCAGATACACTGCTTTTGAGCATGGAGGCTTGATTTTCTACCGGTTGAACAGCTGGCTAAAATCCCGTTCCACTCACCGACTGCTTGGGCAGCGTCTCTTGGAAACAGCGCCCCAGGGGTTTCTGGGTTGGGGGACGAGTGTAGGCCGGTTTTGGAGCCGGGTGCTGGATTAGATGGTGGCCTCCCCCTGGCCCACTCCCCTCCGAGCTGAGGCTATCAATCCGGTGGACCTTCACAGAGGCTTCCGGCGGATGATGGACACGGACATTGACCAGCGGTTGGTGCATCTGAACTGGGAGCAAAAAAAAATAAAGTAGGATGTTGGAAGCAGGACAAGGGAGTGGCTACTACGCCGTTTGAAGCGTCAATGAAACAGCCGAGTTACGGATCAATTTAAAACTAGCTCGATACCAGTGCTTTGCTACGAAACAATGTGATCGGACTTAGTTTTGGGGAAGGAAAATAAGGGGGGGGCAGGATTCTACCTTGCATCCACCAATATTCATCTGGCTAGCATCCTGTCAGTGTACATGAGAGTTGAGGGCTGTTTGGAAGCTGAAGGAGTATTTGCTATGTGAGCAAGAAGACAGCAAGGAGCCTGGGTGTGGCTTAGCTGAACTGTTCTGTCCTAAAGCTGCTTGGTGCTCTGAAACCAAAACTGAAACTGCAACTCCTCTCCTCTGCTTGTGTTTTGCATTTGGAAGAGATTTCTTTCCAGGTGGGGAGGGGGAGTAGAACTCCTTAGCATCAGAGCGTGTTAATAATAATATAGGAAATACTAAATGTTCTGATGGTCATTTCAAAAAATCCTTTCTTAATGAGCACCTAGAAGCCAAGAGGAACCTACATGCCAGTTTTCAAGTTTGTAGGCTTTACGGTTCTGGAGATTTTGTGATGATGCCTGAGCGTCATTTCACTTTCATATATATAATAGATTAAAATAAAGTACGGTGCTGAATTTTTGACCAAGGATTTTTTTTGTTCATCAACCAGCAGACAAATGACAAACTGGGAACAAAGAGATGAAACCCTGGAGCTGGGGGCTTCTGGAAAACCCTCTGCACATGCTCGAAGATTCCCAGCTCGGCCCTTCAGTGGCCAGAACGGATCTCAAATTGCAAACTCAGTTCTGCAGAGGAGTGAATTTATTTATTTAGCACATGGCATACAGTAGACAACAGTAATACAAATATATCAAAGGTGTTCCTAATACTGTGGTACACATATAATGGAAATTTGGGGTGCTTGGGGCTCTCTGAGCAAAGGTGCTTTCTTGCAGACGTTTCATTAACCAAGTGTAAACCCACTCCTTTCTAACACTGATGACGTTACCTAGTTGGGTCATGAAATGTCTGCAGGAAGACAACTCAACTTAGAGAGCACTAAGGACTCTGCAGTCCTCCTCCTCTTCTTCTTCCTCCTGGTCTCGAGCTCAGAGAGAACCAAGAACCGCATAGTCCTCCTCCTCTCCACAAACCTACTAGCACTACCTACTAGCACTGATGATGTTACCTAGTTGGGTAATAAAACGTCTGCAAGAAAGCAACCAAGCTCACAAAGCACCAAGGACCTCACAAGTCCTCCTCCTCCTCCTCCTTCTCTCCACAAACCCCACTCCCTACTAGCACTGATGATGTTACCTAGTTGAGTCATGAAACGTCTCCAAGAAAAGCCCAGAGAGCGCCAAGGACCTCTCATTTCAACCCTGAACTACAAACATTCCCTTCTCCTGACGGAAATACCTATTCGACTTTGTAAGGTTTGAGGAATTCAAGAAGTGATGCGTAAGTTATAAGTTGCCTTTGGAAATACATCGATTCATGAGACTTGAATAGGTGTTCTATGGATTAATATCTGGGCCGTTTATCCTATTAAGGCGGTATTTATTATTTGGAGGAAATCTGCTTTTCCTCCGACCAGGGGTATCCAGGGGTAGGATTCAGCCAGTTCGGCTTGGTTTGAGCGAACCGGATGTTAAGTTTACATCTGGCTCGCCGAACCGGTAGTTGAACTGATTGGCCCGCCCCTGCCCCTCCCACCCTGCCCCTCCCACCCCAGGAGTTCCCACGCACCCATTTTGGATGCAGGTAAGTGCAGGATCTGCGCGGAGGCTCTGGGAGGCCGAAAAACGGGCCTTCTGGAAGTTCCAAAAGTCCGGAAACTTTCTAGCTTCCGGAGGCCCTCTGGAGGCCAGGGGAGGCCATTTTTGCCTTCCCAGAGGCCCGAGAGAAGCCTCCGGACTCTGGGGAAAACGAAAAACGGTGCTCCTGGGAGTTCTGGTAGGCCACGCCCACCATGGCCACGCCCACCCAGCAACCGGGTAGAGAACCAGTTGTTGGGATTTTTCAATCCCACCCTGGGTTTATCGCTTCACCCTAACCTCCCCGACCCCCGCAAACAGCCCCCGAGCCCAGCCCCCACTTTCTCTCCCGTTACCTTCGGAGGAGTGATGCCCTAAAGGCACCATAAAGCTGGAATGGCTCACGGTGCCTTTTGAACCCGGCCCCGAGGGGCTGTCGCTGTGGTGATCCGACATGACCTGGACGGCGTAAATGGCGTGTTTGCTGGAACCCGTCTCCGTGGGGGACCCATCGCTGGGGGGCCGGGCCTGCTGTCCCTGGCGGTTCACGGGCATCTGGCAGAAGCGGCCGGTGAATTCCGGGGGGCACAGGCAGTGGTTGCCAGATGTGCACTGACCACCGTTCATACAAGGCAGAGGACAGACAACTGCAGCAGGGAAGGGGGGGCGGGACACAGAGAGGAAAAGACACCCCTGTTAATTTTGCCTGGGCCAGACCCCCACACCTCTTTTTGGCTTCCTACGCATCAACCCAACCTTGCCACCGCCCGAAAATTTCTCCTTATTTCTAGCTTGGTTCTCTCCTTGGGTAGTTTACATCCCTCGCTTGAAAATTGGACATTGGGAATATCGATGGGGCTTCCCCCGCCCCCCCCCAAAAAAAGTTAAAATTAAAGTTTTAATTAAAGAACCCCGCATCCAGTTTTGGTCACCACCATGTAAAAAAGATGTTGAGACTCTACAAACAGTGCAGAGAAGAGCAACAAAGAGGATTAAGGGACTGGAGGCTAAAACATATGAAGAACGGTTTCAAGAATTGGGTAGGTCTAGTTTGATGAGAAGAAGGACTGGGAGAGACAGGATAGCAATATTCCAATATTTGAGGGGCTGCCACAAAGAAGAGGGGAGGGTCAAGCTATTCTCCAAAGCACTTTGAAGGCAGGACAAGAAGCAACGGGTGGAAACTCATCAAGGAGAGAAGCAACCTGGAATGAAGAAGAAACTTCCTAACAGTGAGGACAATTAACCAGTGGAACAACTTGCCACCAGAAGTTGTGGATCCAACACTGGAGGTTTTGAAAAAGAGACTGGATAACCATTTGTTTGAAATACTGTAGGGTTTCCTGCCTAAGCAGGGGGTTGGACTAGAAGACCTCCAAGGTCCATTCCAACTCCTATTCTATTCTATTCTATTCTATTCTATTCTATTCTATTCTATTCTATTCCCTATTCTATTCTATTCTATTCTATTCTATTCCCTATTCTATTCTATTCCCTATTCTA